TCGACCCTGCTTATCATGTACTATTCTTATAGTGCAATATAACAGTATTCTTTTGGAGTATATTGTACCCCTATCATTTGTTGCTTGGTTTAAAAAAGCGTGTTGCGCTCCGTTGCGATTAGGTCTCGGAGACCGATGCACGTTGCGAGATGCGATTGCGAGCGCATCATGTAGGTGTGGCGCACAAGTAGTAATTACTAAATATATATGTGTTTACTTAAAGCAGAAAGAAAAATTCATGTTTACCAATAACTAACTAAAACACCATAAACATTAAACATATAAAATGAAACCAAAATCTAATATCCATGCCATATGCAAAGTGAAAACAATGACTCACTGTTGGCAGGATCTATGTTGTGGTCCAATGACTCATTGTTAGCAGCCATGATTGTTAAGATTTAAGAGAAGAGAATTTTAAGAGAAGAAGATAATGTTGAGCACTATTAGTGACTTAGTGCTAACTGTTAACCGTTGGATCAATAAATAAGATGGTGGATCAAGAAAGAGGAGGGAAGATGAAGAACTTATTGGTCGATAATAACAGAGAGAAGAAAAAGTTTGTCATGTAATCATGGTGTTGTATCGGTTAGTATTCTTATCCGTATGTCTTTCAGTCTCTAGGGTAGAAGTAGGGCCGACCAACAATTAAACAGTTGCATTTGCATGGGATTTATTAGATTTTAAGTATTTTTAAGTGAAATGGGCCAAACACAGGATGCGACAAAGCGCAATGCGCTAGATGCGCTTAGATGCGAACGCATCATCTCACATCATGTAGGTCGCTTCGCCCCACACTTCTGTTGCGCTTAGGCCATCGCAACGCAACGCAACCTCGCAACAGTCGCAACATGCACGCTTTTTTAAACCAAGATTTGTTGTGTTTGACACCCTAACATTTATCAACTCAATCGATAGCAGCGTATAAACACACAGGTCAATTTTGGGTCGTTCTAAGCATTTTCATGTGTTTGAAATAATTGAGGCCTACATCAAGTTGTTTGAGGTTCACAACGACATTGCTCGGTTCCATCTTAAATGTGCACCACATACACAAATATTGTAATGTGATGTTAAGAGTAATACTTAATGTTCGTGTTTTTTCGCGTTTTAATTTCAATAAACATGAATATGTGACGAGAGGAAGAAATTAAAGATATTCTGAATGTAAAGTGTGATATGTTTATGGATAAATTTTGTTACAAAGAACACAATGAAAATAATTCCAACACAAACAGACTTTGTATGAAAAAAATCATGAAGATTCATAGTTGAGTTTTTTTTTTCATATTTTTCATCGACTACCCTATTTTGGAGCTATGAACGTATGACTTCCCAACATCCAAATTTGGAGTGTGATATGTTTATGGACAGTCCTTGTTACGTAGGACACAATGAAAAAAATCAATACTAACAAACTTCGTATGAAAGAGTTATGAAGTTTCAAAGTTTGAGAAAACAACTTAATTTTCAATCAACTCTACAAAAATCTACTTAGATTTTCACACTTAACCCTTAGATTTTCGCAGTCAAACCTCCAAAATGATGTTGTTTTGTCAAAAAAAAAAAAATCAATCAGAGTCATCTGCGAAAATAATTGTTATTTTGGTTTTATATTTTTGAGGCTATTTTATAATAAATACTTTAAAAAATAGCTATTATATATTATGTTTTAATTTAAATTGATTATGCGAGAGAAAAAAAGGAGGTATATATATTTTTCTTGATTTAAATTGATTAATTCATCGGTAAGTATGACTTATAAGGTTATCCGGTGTGGGCAACGCCCCACTGGTGTTTTTCCGACGTGGCACCAAGAAAATGGCGTTACAACGGTACAAATACCGCCCCCTTCACCGTTTTTGTTTGTTATAAGAATGTGTTGCTCACACCGGATAGCTTAAGGGGTCGTTGCTTCGTTGGTGCAATAGGCGTTCAAATGTAATTTGATTTTATTTGATTTGGTACTATTCACCGGTGAACCCAATTTTGCTTATTATTTTTTTTATTTGTTTGATATGAAAATTAAGATTGCTTTTGTAATTTGTGTTGCTATGTGAGAAAAAAAATTGGATATTTTTGTTCATATAAATTAATTCTTAGTAGATATGAGCACGGTGATATCAAATAAGGGGGACAACTTAGACGATGACTCATACATTCAAAATTTATAGGGTCTCATTTTGTATAACTTATTATTTTAGTATAAGAAAAAATTGATATATCGTGCATCACAGTTCGAACGGAAAAATGAAAAGAAATATAGTCAAAACAAAATCAGTGAATAAGACTAAGGTACATGCGATTCTTCTAGAAAAATCATTGTATTTGGCCTCTCACCACCATCGATTGAAGAATGTTGCGAATCAATTCTAGTTTTTTCAACGGTAACAAAAGTAAATCAATTTCAATTTTTTCACGCATTCTTCTAATCTTCGGTTTTAATTTATGTGTTATGATTTCTGATTTCAATATTTCTTAATACATCGATTTTGATAATTAGATATCATAGATTCACAACGAGATGTTTTTGTTTACTTTACATGCTTTTTCTCATCTCTCTCATGATATTTTTTCTTTCCGTAAGTGGTTAGTCTCCAACCTGCTATTGTAATACATTTTTTAATTAATTAAATTTTATACAGGCATCACCCTCATTTACCAAAAAAAAAAAAAAAACTATGGTTAAAGAATTATTATTTTTTATTTTGTTCGAACGCCTCAAATTGGCTTGAAGTGGCATTGGGTAGGGATGAGCAGCGGAAGCGGGTACCTGCTTTCGGAACCGGAACCGCCTCGAAACTGCCGGTTCTGGAACCGGAACTGCCTTGACGGTTCCGGTTCCGGTTCCTAAAGTCTCGGAACCGCCTTAGGCGGTTCCGGTTCCAATTCTCATTTTCTAAAAACCAATACCCGCTGGATACCCGCCGATTCCGGTTCCAATACCGGGTACCCGGAACCGGCGGTTAACCGGAACCGGTACCGCCGGGTACCCGCCTCTTTAAAATATATATATATATATATATTATATATATATATATATATATATATATATATATATATATATATATATATAATATTTATATTTATATTTTGGAAAAAGAAGTGGCGTAAAGCGTAATTGCCTTATCATTTTTAGGGTTTGTGACTGAGAATTCATTCTTACCAAAAAAAACGCAGACACTCACACTCCCCTCTCGGCTCTCGCAAATCGCAATCGTAAGACGCTGGCACTCAGATTCGTTGTGAGACTCACTATTTCTCGAGTCGTTTACTCGTTTGATTCGCTGGAGTAGAAGACGAAGGTGGACTCGTTCAATTCTTAGGCCCCGCTCAGTCGCTAATCGCTCACGTTGTTCCCCTGTTCAATCGACGAACGAAGAAAGTCAGAAACCCAATTGCCGACCCAATCGCCGACCATCGCTGCAAGCCTGCAACTACAAGTCTTCATCTTCAAGGTTAGATTCTCGAAGTCTCAAACTGTTACCTCGATCTATTAATCTCTCGAAGCCTGCAACTAAAATGTCGATTTTTTGACCGGTACCTCCATGACTGGTACCATATGTTCTCTGTAATATATGTTCTATTGATTTTCTTCCATCTATAAATTTTGAAATTGTAACTATCGATTTACCTCCATCTATCGAAATTGTAACTATCGAAATTGTAATCTGTTACTATATTATGTAATCTGTTACTGAATCAGAAGTTTGAAAAAGGTTTTAATAGTGTTGATTAATCAAATTTGATTTAGTGCCCTGTATCTGTATGTGTTCTGATTCCCATGGCAAAGTTAATAATGTTATAATCCTTTGAACGTAAATGCATATCAACGAGTGTTTAAGAGCTCAAAAGTTCATTGTTATCTTTTGGTTGTATCTGTATGTGTTTTGATTTAGTGCCCTATATCTGTATGTGTTCTGATTCCCACAAAGAATGGTACATTGTTCCAGAATCTTGACAGTTACTACAAAGAATGGTACATCATCTTTGGGTAAACATAATGCTGTATGTTTACAGAATCCTGATAATATTGATAAAAAACAAAAGAAAATTAGCACTTTTAGAACAAGTCAAAGTGATGTGACTACCGTTTCTAATTGGGAATTTAACCAAAATACAATCAGGCTTGCTTTAGCAAAAATGATTGTCATTGATGAGCAACCATTTTCATACGTTGAACGTGACGGGTTCAGATATTTTTGTAGTGTTGCTGTTCCATAGTTTTGTATCCCGTCACGTTTCACGGTTGCTAGAGATATTAGTAAAGTGTTTCTTTGTGAGACGGAGCAATTGAGAAATACCTTGAAAAGTTTGAATTCTAGGATTGCTCTTACTACTGATTGTTGGACTTCTGTGCAAAATTTAAGCTATATGTGTTTAACTGCTCATTTTATTGATGATAACTGGAAATTACATAAAAGAATTTGAATTTCCGTAATATTGATAGTCATAAAGGAAAGGAAATCGGGAAAGAAGTAGAATCTTGTATTCTTTATTGGGGTATTGAAGAGAAGTTATCTTGCATCACTGTAGATAATGCAAGTGCTAATGATGTAGCTGTTGTTCATATAAAAGACAATCTAATGGATAAACTTGTCTTAGGAGGTGAGTTTTTCCATATGAGATGTGCCGCCCATATCTTAAACTTGATTGTTAAAGATGGTCTCGATTTGATTAAAGATGCCATTGTTAGGATTAGGGGTGTAGTTAGATATGTCAGGAGCTCTACGGAAAGATCAAAGTTGTTTGATACTTGTGTTTCAAAATCAAAAATTTTGAGTAAAACATCGGTATCTCTTGATGTACCAACACGGTGGAACGCCACTTACATTATGTTGGAAACGGCACTTAAGTTTGAGAGAGCTTTTAAAAGAATGAGACAAGAAGACCCCGCATTTGAGAAAGATCTTAAAGATGGATTTCCATCCCAAAATGATTGGGAAAGTGCTAGAAATTTATCTCTTTGTTTGAAGTAGTTTTTTGAAGCCACGAAAAGGATGTCGGGAACTTTGTATGTTACGGCTAATATGCATTATCATGAGATATTAGGTGTACTTGCTTCCTTGTTGGAGTGGACACAAGATGATGATATCAATATTGTTCTTATGGGTGATCAAATGAGGAAAAAGTTTGACAAGTATTATGGAGACTTTGGAAAAACAAATGTGATGGTGTTAGTTGCGGTTGCACTTGATCCAAGGTATAAGATGAGGTTTGTGAAGTTTTCTCTAAGAAAAATCTATCCTTTAGACTTCAAGAAGGTTGAAGAACTATATGCTAAAGTGTTTGAGGTTTTGAATCAACTATATAATCATTATTCTAATGTTTCTTCAACGGGCAAGAATGATGGTTCTAGTTCTTTCAATACAAATGATGATGATGGTCAAAATTTTGATGGTGTGGTTAAGAATAAGCAAATGAGAAAAATATATGATGAGTTTTATGAAAATGATGTTGAAGATGCTATGGAAAAATCTGAATTGGAGGAATATCTTGATGCTCCACCCAAAAAAATGAATAATGAAACATTTGATATTTTGAAGTGGTGGAGTGACAAATGCACAACATACAAGGTGTTGTCATCAATGGCAAAGGACATTCTAGCCATTCCGGTTTCTACGGTTGCTAGTGAGTCCACTTTTAGTACATCCGGACGTGTGGTTGATGACTTTCGTAGTAATTTGCTTTCAAAGACGGTGGAAGCTTTGATTTGTACTCAAGATTGGTTGAGGGCATCAAATGTTTGTATTGACCTTGAACAGTTATTGGAAGATGTGGAAAAATATGAGGAAGGTAATATGGAAGATACACTTTTATTTATTCTTTTATTTTATGTTTCTTGTATAATATTTAATATTCTAATTTGAATTTTTATGTTTAATTCCATTGCAGAAATCAGTTGCAATATGGAAGATACACGTGGAGGGAGTTAGTAGTTGCTGTTTTTGATGTTGGGATGGTGCTGTTTTTGCTGCCTGCTGTTGCTGTTTGCTATTTTGCTGTTGCTGTTTGGTGCTGTTTTGCTGTTTTTTGCTTGTTGGTGCTGTTTTGCTGTTGCTGTTTGGCTGTTTTGCTGTGGTTCTTTTGCTGTTTTTTTGCTGTTTTGAAACTTGATAAAAAATTGTTTACTGTTTTGTTGTTGCTGTTTTGACTTTTGTTATTGCTGAAAATTGTCATTAAATTGTCATTTTGTTATATTACTTGATAAATTCCAATTGTGTTGGCATGGTGTTTTGAGATCAAGTTTTTATGATTATTTTAGTTTTATATATTGCAGTCCTAGTCTCCTGTTGTTTATAAAAGTTTATTTCAATGAAATGTATACAATAAAAGATGTAAATTATCAAGAAGCCGGGTACCCGGAACCGGAACCGGTTCTGGCGGTTCCGGGAGCGGTTTCAATTTTCTAGGAACCGGTGTAGGCGGTTCCGGTTCCAATACCCAAAAACTAAGAACCGCCGGTTCCGGGAGCGGTTTCGTTCCGGCTAAAATAGACGGGTACCTGGTTATGCTCATCCCTAGCATTGGGCACGAGTAGTTGGTGTAATATGGGTTCAAATTAAATGAGATTCGATAGTCTTTTTTTAATTATTTTTAGTTATGGTTATTGGTTTTATATAATGTATTAAACTTTTATATATTTATAATATATAAAACATTAAATTTAAATAGCTGGATATAAAATGATAAATTCAGAAAAAGAATGTACTTTTTGTTATTCATTTCTTTTATTTATTCCCTTTTTAAACAGCTGGATTTTTATTTATTCTTTTATCCGTGAAAAACGGAGTAAATAGTCATTAATATGACTACCCAAGGCCATAAATGATATACAATAATAATATTATATCAAATCCATGCTTCAGATTTCATAGGGACGATAACAATGCAGTCATGCAGATATCGGTTGAGACTATCTTTTTCATATTAAATCATGATTCATGCATCATGTGTTTTTCTATTGTTTCTAATTTTGTCTATAATTATTTCCACTTTTTTATTAAGATTTCAATTGTTTGATTTATAAATGTGGATACAAGATACACGTTTAGACGTTTTAGTGACTACTGACTAGAAAATGTAAAACCACCTTAATGAAAATAATTAATAAAATCAAGAGAAACAAGATTAAAATAAGGAATTGCTAATTTGTATGAGGATACGCACTGTTGGTAACATCCTAAGTTTGTAATTGGTGTACATATTCATATTGTCTTGATATAATCATATTGACACCTTGTACTTGGTTCATAATATGGTTCATCCAAATTTTGGCGACTCATGTTCCTTTAACATAGGACATTGTGTAAGGATTTAATGATTTATATTAATACCGACATTTCTTATTCAACATGTATGTTTGATTTATGAGCTATTCACTAAAATACCATATTTGAAAGCCAAATACATTTACAAGGACCTAGAAGAGAAGGAACACAACAATTACAAGAAAGTGAAGAACTAATAGCAAAACGAATTAACTCAGTTGACTTTAAAATTCTAATTACTATGCATTATCCAAGAAAAAAAAAGAATGCAACACAACTTTATTGTAAATCGAATCTTTTCTTTACTTCTGAGAACCAAAGATGTTCCTATAGATACAAATCACCCAAAACAACGTCAAACTAACCTCATCTAGATAAGGTCTCTGCACAATTATATACGAGAAAGCCACTCGCGAATCAAACTCCAATAGTCATGAATGGTTTAAACGACTTTTACCGATATCCTTGTTAACACACTATGAAAATATTTAGAAATCTATTAATCTAAGATTCTTTACTTTTAATCTAAATCATGAATATTCAACTATGTAATCTTGTCCAATACATGTTATTTCTTGTGAATAAAATGTTTACTCAATTTGTTTCATGATTACCTATTCTCAGTTTAACCATATAATCAACCCCTAATATAGGGTTTATGGTTTCGCCCAAAATTCCTAAATTAAAATCATCCAAAAGATAGATAATTGCTTTTTACCTTATTTTCTTTCTTGGATGATAAAATCCCTTGGTATTATCTTTGATTTGATTCATCTTGGAATTGAGTTTCATACAATAGATACACTAAGAACACCCACATACGTAATCTCAAAGTTTCTAGAGAGATTTGGGTGTTAAAATGACTAAAATTAAATTAAGTAAAAATGATTTAAAAAGTGGTGATCAAAGGGTGGCAACGAGAAAAATTCGCATGTCGAACTAAAGATCTGACCCATACCCGAATCCACTCAAAATTTCATCCTTATCGGAACCTCCAGGTGCCTTGCGCTGGTGACATGGTCAAGAATGAGATCCCGCGCCTGCCAACTCAACCCTAAGTCATTCTCAACTTGGTTGAGTGCCTTTCTATGTAGAAAATATTTGTTCTTCGACTTTTGGTCCGACATAACTTTCTCATATACACCGATTTAGCTTATTTTTTTTGTATGTATTCTTTGTAACAATGGTTATCCATTAATATATTATAACAAAAATTTGGATATTAATAAGTCATACTTTCTAGGCTCCACAATACGCCACTTGGTCATGTTTAATATTTTTTCCTGACTTAGAAATTATTTTCTTTTTTTTTTACAATTCACATGATTTTTTCCAAAATTTTTAAACATGCAGAACTTTCTCATGCTAACTCGGATTGGGTTGATTATTTTCTATACCCCTTTTTTGTTTTGTCTCTATCTCAAAATTCAAAACTCGCCATTTTAATGTTCGCATTAGTCTCAAACATATGTTGTGAGGAACTAAAATCATCACAAACACTAGTACAAAAATGACTTACAGACACACCAAAAAAGTGTGACCATATGCGTATAGTGACATTTTATTTTTTCACTGAAAGTGTGACGGAAGGTGACGCCATTGTATGGGTCTTATGGTCACTTTAAAATGTAGTGTCCGTATGATATGAAAACATGGGGCCGTATTATAAAAGTGTGACAATTGGGTAGAGAATTTTGTTCCAAAAATTAATCATTTTATCCAATATTGTGGCGTTAAACCATCAATAGACACACTTTTTTAGTAATTATAGTCACTGTATATGACCAACTGACGACATACATGTTGTTTCAATGTGACGCTTTCCTAATAAATTGTCACACAATTCAAAGTTTATTATGACTATTGGGTATCTTTTGCAGACATGCATTTACGGTGAACGTAACTATGTTCACTAAATGGTCACATGTATTTAATTTCATAAGTAGCGATTTGCTAATAATTAGTCACAAAAGCATTGTTGAATAAATATGGTCATAAACGATTTGTAGACACATAAGTGTTTTTTGATTGTGATTGTTGCTCATCCAACTCTCACACAAGTTTATTGTTAGTGTAGTTGTAACTATTATTTAGTTACATAAAAGATTGTTTCATGAGTTTTTAGTCACATCGATTTAAGAAAAACGCGGAAAAAATGTTGTTGTAATCAAGCATTATGTCAAATAAGTATGGCTATAAATACTTTCTAAACACATGTGTTTAAATGTTGTTTGACTTTAGTCACACATATAAAATTAAAACACGACCATGAATTATGTATAAGCACATGCGACAAAAAAATGAAATATACATTAAAATATAATAGAAAATAAAATTTATTAATAATAATTCAAAATTCATACATCAAAACATATACAAGGTTATAAAAAATAGAAGTATATGCAAAGTTGTAACCAAGAAAGATAAGTTATACATTTTTTTATTAACACCATTGCTCCATGTTTGCTTTAACAGATGTACCGTTGCGTAAGTGGTCTCTTTTCTCTTTTTAGTCTATTGCATTTTTATATCTTGAACTAAAATTACTTGCAGTTGATCATGTAGCAGCAAATAAACTATTGAAAGATATCATTCTTACTCCACTCTTTTTTTGATAAATGTGTTTCCCTGAATCAAGATGTGGAATGGATCAATCATAAACTTCAAAAAATTGAATTACATCTTATGCTATTTTGCAAAACAATGTTAATTACATTGAAGCTTATAACAAGGAATTACAAATAGAAGTCAATTTATCATCAATTTGCCAACAAAATCCACAAATGCTATGAAGAAATTAGACATAGAAAAGGAAATTGAAGTATGTTGCTATATTAAGTGAGTCAACAAAAGAATGTTGTCATTACTTGCATTTAATTGCATATATAACATGACAGAGAGTACATGAAAATCAGAAAGAAGATTAACTAGAGCATTGTAATTAAAAGAGATAGGAGGATAATTCTAATGATATGATTTCTTGAGTTTGAACAGCAACTATATCTTTCTATAATGATTTATCTAGTTGTATGTTTATATTTTTTGAAATTATTTTGATAAAAAAGAATAATATAACTGATCGGATACTAGAGTACTTACTTGGGACCAATATCCTTAAGTGCATATATCTGCTCACATCCCATAGCTTACATCACGGTTGCTACATGAACAAGATATGAACATGATCATTAAGTGAGTGATTGTTGCTAGTTTCTGATTTGAGCAACAATACTTACCATTTCGGTAAATTCTTCCCATGAAAAGCAATCAAAACCTTGTTCCATGGCTTCCTTCTTTTGTGACCCAAAGACCTTCCTAAGGCTCACAATAGCTTCAAGAAGAAGGATACAAGGACACATACCTAGAGGGACGATCAAGACCTTGTTCCATGAGAAATTTGGAACACATGATAATATTTGCATGATTTATTTATAACTAATCAAGAAAGTGATAAAAACAGATGTCTTAGGGAGGTTGTTCCATATGTAACATATGTAAGGACTATGTGTATATATAATGAAATTAAGGAACTTTGATAAAGAAGATAAGAGCATAACTTACAACAGGTAACTTGCACTCTTGAACAAAAACTAAGAAAAATTGGAAATTTCTCCATGGTTGATAATGTACTGTAACGACCCAAAAATCGAGGGTAAAAATTTCGTTTTTAATATAGTCAAAACATAGATATCATTTATTCCAACATCCAAAACATCGTTAATTAAACATTTATCAGAGTTCATCCCAAAATCATGCAATGCGGAAAAATGGGTGTGTGCACTGCGATCGATCCGAGCCCTTCTTGTCCAAATCAATGATACCTGAAACCAATAAACAAAACTGTAAGCACGAAGCTTAGTGAGTTCCCCAGAGCATACCCCACACAATCCACATAACCAC